TTTTCTAAGCCAGCTCTACCATCTTACAACTTTGTGTGACAGTTCATAACCATTGTGTGAGAGTTCCAATTTGTCCACATCCTGTTTTTCTCTTTAATTATAGTCACTACTAGTGGCCAAGTGCACGGATTTGTGCACATTGAAAGGAAATTTATTAGAAGAAATATTTTAATATCACTATTAGCTCTTTCTCTATAATAGAAATGTTAGAGATGAAAGAAAATTGCTAAAATGCACATGAGAAAATAATATATAAATTGATCAATAAATAACAACAAAGACATGACTTAAAAACAAAAACATGATGTAAAAACAACATTAATAAAAATAATGACTGATAAATTGATTAAATTCTACTATCTCCCTGTATATGACATTAACAGTTAAAATACTTTCAGAGTGCTTTACTAATTTCCCTTGTGATGAAGTATTTACAACTTTAACTCTAATGTCAACAAAAACAACCAAATTCATGATCGACAGTGGCAGATCAAAACACACGTGTATGATTGGCACAAAGGAGAGCTTTATATGTATTGTGTATGCACAAGTCAGCATTTATTTTTAAATTGCCAGTGTGTGTCATATGTATCGGATTAATACACCGTTGGTTACTTAGCTTTTTATATATACAGACGAGGCCTGGTGTATGACATTGGTGCACGGGTACATCCCTAGGCCAGGCCTGTGATCGAAGCGCTAGCATGTGGCATAGAAGGGCAGGTCTCCATGGCAGCTGACCTCTGGGCCATGGGCAGTACCTGAGCCTCTGGGCCCCCACACTCCCCTCCTCTGCCTGAGTCACGATGCTTGAGTCCTCACGTAGAAATGTGGTGAGAGCAACCGGACACTGCAGGCTGGGGCACAGAGTGAGCCTTTGGGCCACCCAGCGGCACTGCATGGAAACCGGGCAGGCTGTATACTCTCTCCCGGCCGGTCTCAAAGCCTGGCTCCTGTGCAAACCCATGGGGAGTCCGACCAGTCTCTTTAGTCCCGGCTGCGGCCCGGCTCACCTAGAAGGTGCTGCATGAGTGTGGGGTGGGCTCCTCATGGGCACCTGGTACCTGAGCCCAGGGGGCTTCCCTGGGGCGTGAACCCTAGTATCCCAGGGAAGAGTAACAAGGGGAGTGAGAGCAAGCTCAGCAGACACGTCGCATTCTCACCGAACCTCTGTCCCCTTCACCCCCGCCCCCAGGTATCTGGCGAGAGGTTGCAGCCCCCCACCCGGGTACCGAGGGAGGTTGGTCACTGCCACCCACCCCTAGTTCCCCATCCCAGCCTAGGAACTGACTGCTGGTCACCATATGTGGGTCAATCGATCAGGGTTCCTTCTGTGCTTGGGAGTCAGGCAGCAGTCCTGCCCCCCACTGCCATTGCTGGTTGCTCTCTGCGGGGTGATTGGGCTCCTGCTTGCACCCACCTTGGCCTGGTGCCTCTTGCTCACCTTCTCCACCATCCTGCCATAGTCCCACTCTCGTCGGGGCTGACATTGCCTCCACTTCCACCTGCTGCCAGCACTGAGTCACTGATACCTGCCATGTTCCATATCGCCCCCTGGTGGTCAGCGCACGTCATAGTGAGTGGTCAAACTCCTGGTTGGACAATTTTTATATTGGGCTTTGTATTATATAGGATGGTTTTCATTTGCATTTCCCTGTTAACTAATGATGTTAAGCCTCTTTTAATATTCCTTATTTTATATTGTCTTATTGGCTATTTGCATATCTTTTAGAGCAGTGTCAATTTGAGTCCTTTGCTCACTTAAAAAATTTTGTTATTCAGCTTTTACAGCATTTTGTATTTTTTAGATGCAAGTTATATTATCAGATACATTATTTGCAAATATATGATTTGCAGATATTTCCCTCTATTGTATGAGTTGCCTTTTCAGTTTCTTGACAATCTCTTATTGCTATATATTTAGTTCTGTTAATCTAGATCTGTTTGGTTGTAAATACAATACAATCTTATGTGTTTCTTAAAATTTCTTCCATTGTCCTTTATCTCTATACCTCTTTCCCCATTCCCCTATTGTTTTCACTCTCTTTCACTTTTCTTTTTCTTTCTCCGTCTACTTTTTTACTTTCATCTACTTTCTTAAGCTTATATTTACCATCAGACTTTCTAAACCCACTAGCTTACTGAGAATGAAAATTAGAAGTTAGTCAACTTTTTTCTAATACTTCCAGTAATTGATCTTTTGTGGACTGTACCTCTTCTCAATGTTATAACACATAAGTCTAATAAATATAAAAATTAATATGCAAGCAAGGATTATTATGCTTTCTATAGATCATTATTTCAAAAATACATGAAGTGATGCTTGCTTATAAGATCAATTTGCAGTGAGTCTATAATTAGGTGGCTTCTGTTTCAATAAAAAAAAATTATTGTTGAGACTATTTCAGATGTCTTCCTCCCTCCTCTTCTCCCCTCCATTGCCCTGCTCAACCTGGTTGTAGCTCTGCCACACACCTCACCACGGTATTGTCTGTGTCCATAGGTAATGCATATAAATTCTTTGGTTAATCTCCTCCACCACCCACCCTCCCTCACCTCCTTCTCTCTGAGATTCATCAGTTAGGTTTAATGTTTATGTGCCTCTGGTTCTATTTTATTAATCAGCTTATTTTGTTCATTTGATTCCTTGTTTGTCCATTTTGAGTTTCAGATTCAGTTGTTGATAGGTATGTATTTATTGCCATTTTATTGTTCATATTTTTGTTCTTGTTCTTTCTCCTCTTTGTAAAGAATACCCTTCAATATTTCATGAATTACTGGTTTGGTGATGATGAACCCCTTAGCATTTTCTTGTCTGTGAAGTTCTTTATCAATTCTAAATGATAGATTTGCTGGGTAGAGTAATCTTGGTTGCAAGTCCCTGCTTTTCATCACTGAATATTTCTTGTCACTCTCTTCTGGCCTGTAACGTTTCTATTGAGAAACCAGCTGATATTCATATGGGTGCTGTCTTGTAGGTAACTAACTGCATTTCTCTTGCTGTTTAAGATTGAATCTCTTTACGATTTTCTCTTTGTATTTAACCTTTGGCATTTTAGTTATTGTATGTCTTGGTGTGGTCCTCTTTGGGTACCTCTTGTTTGGGACTTTGTGTTTCCTGGACTTGTAAGTCTTTCTTTCACCAATGGAAATTTTCTGTCATTTCTTCAAATAACTTTTCAATATCTTGCTATCTTTTCTCCTTCTGGCATCACCATAATTCGAATTTTACTATGTTTGAAGTTGTCTCAGAAGCTCCTTACACTATCTTCCTATTTTTGGATTATTATTATTTTTTTTCTTATTGGTCTTCTGATTGGGTGTTTTTTTGCTTCCTCTTATTCAAAATCACTGACTTGACTCTTGGCATCCTCTACTGTTGAATCCTTGTACATTATTCTTTATTTTAGTTAGAATATGCTTAATTTCTGACTGATCCTTTTTCATGTCTTTGAAGTTCTTATGAAGATCCTTGAGCATCCTTATAAGCATTGTTTTGAACTCTGTATCTAGTAGTTTGCTTGCTTCCATTTCATTTAGTTCTTTTTCTGAAGATTTCTTCTATTCTTTCATTTATAACATATTTCTTTGTCTCCACATTTTAGCTGCTTCCCTATGTTTGTTACTCTCAATTATAATAGCTAGAGCTGCTATGTCTCTAGGAATTGGTAGAGTATCCTTTTGTAGTAGGTGTCCTGTAAGACCCAGTGATTCAGCCTTCCTTGTCAACTGAGCTGGGCACTATAGGTGAGCCCATATGTGGGCTGTGTGCACAGTCTTGTTGTAGTTGAGCCTTGATTGCTGTTGGCATCACTGGGAGGAGTTGACCTCCAGGCTAATTGGCTGTGAGGATCAGCTGTGACTACAGCAGAAGAGCTGCTGTGTATGGGACACTCCTGTGGTGCAGGACTTGCTTCAGGGGGCTTTGGTGCTCATTGAATCTGCCCCTTTAGTTTGTTGCTCATGGATGTATAAAATTATAATCTGGTGAAATCTGAAGCTGTCTACTGGGACCTCCAGGGATTTGCAAAATTAACCACTGCCTGGGGCTACCTGTCGGGGAACTACAGAGTGATATGCCAATGGCTGCTACTTGTGGTGGGCTTGGAAGTACCCAGGCAAGGCCAATCTGTGAAGCAAGGAAAGCTGCTGCTAGTGTTGTGTCTTAAGCCTCTTATTGATAGGTTGGTGGCACGCTGACGCCTGCTGATGCTTGTTTGAGAGATTTAGCTAAGTCTGAGGCCTGAGCCAGGACAGGCCACTTATATGGAAAAGCCTCTGTAAACAGCTTGAGTGAGGCTGCAATTTGATGGTGTAGGGTCTCAGGGAATTACCAGGGTGGAGTGAACAGTGTGAGCCTGTGAACAGGATGGAAACTCAGATATGGCTGCCAGTCAACCCTGTGACTAATGAGGTCGGCATGGGAACAATGACCCTGCAAGCTCTCCTGTTTGGGAGAAAGCTGCCCCCCAAGTTGTTGCTCTTATGCCAGACAATCCAGTTCCTCTGGTTTCCCCCAAGCCTTATGCTAGTGCTGGTCCTCAGAGGTAGCGAGTTTGTGTGCCAGCCCTTTAAGAGGAACTGCCTGGGTCTCCAGCAGCCTTTGTGTCATGCAACCACATTCCCTGCTGGTATGTATAACCAAAAGTTACAAAGACTTTTCTTTCTAGCCCTGCAACCCTGGGCTGGGACCCCTTGCTCCTCACAGGAGACCTCCACTTCTAGATATCTCTCGGATGACAAAAGTGCCACATGTGGGTGTTGGACCAGCCCGGTCCATACCTCCGCCCTCCTACTGGTCTCTATGTACATTCTTCTTTACTTCTCTAGTTCTAGAACTTCCATTCAAGCAGATTTCCGGCTGAATGATAGTGATTCTGTATTTTAGTTGTAATTTTAATGTGGTTATGGGAGGCGGTGAGTACTGGCGTTTACGCCATCTTGGTTCTCTTGTTTCAATTATTAAACTCTGTCTCTCTCTTTCTTTTTAAAGATTCAAAATGGATAGTATAGAAGAACCACAGAAAAAAGTCTTTAAGGCTCGAAAAACAATGAGAGTGAGTGATCGTCAACAACTGGATGCAGTGTACAAGGTCAAAGAAGAACTGTTGAAAACTGATGTCAAGCTTTTAAATGGCAATCATGAAAATGGAGATGTGGACCCAACCTCACCTTTGGAGAATATGGATTATATTAATGACAAGGATGAGGTGAATGGCCTTGAAGAACTTTGTTTTAATCCTGAGAAAAGTAAATCAGAATGGAAAGAAACACCTTGTATCTTAAATGTAAATGTAAAAAACAATCAGGATGATGATTTAAAGCATGAATCTTTGTCTCCTAGTAGTAAAACTTCTGAACTAAACTCTAAAGTGACCACTGAACCTGCTCCTGGTGATCTACCTTTAGGTGATTTGGTTACTGGAGATCTGCCAGACTCTGGAGATGTGGTCTCTGATGATCCCACCTCTAGTGTTATCACCTCTAGTGATCCCACCTCTGGTGATGCCACTTCTGGTGTTCCAACCTCTGATGAGCCTGCCTCTGTTGATCCTGCCTCTGGTGATCCTGCTTCTGGTGAAACGGTCTCTGATAAGCAGGTCTTTACTGAAAACTCAGATATGGCTGCAGGTCAACACTCCATTGAGCTGATGTCTGGGGAGCCAGTCTCTGGTGAACCGGTCTCCAGTGAACCAGTTCATGATGAACTGGTTTCCAATGATCCAGTCTCTGATAATTCAGCTTCTGATGACCTAGCCTCTGGAACACTGGCTTCTGATGATGCAGCTTCTGGTGATCTGGCTTCTGGTGGTCCAGCCTGCGATGATCTGACCTCTGGTGATCAGGTCTCTGGTGATCTGGCCTCTGGTGATCTGATCTCTGATGAACCAACTGCTGATAAACCAACTTCTGAGTCAGCCTTTGATTCCACTTTTGAACCAAGTTCTGTACCAGATAGTGTGCCAGTTCCTGACACTGACAGTACAGAACCTAGTAGCAATAAAGGTGATGATTTTCTTGAACAAAATGGGGATGATGAAAAGTTAGATGAAATTTTCTCATTTGATGAGAGTAAAAAAGTTGATAGTGATACTGATGCTGCTGAAGAAACTCTAGAAGCAGGTGATACAATTGTTTGTTCAGCTCCACCTCCTGAAAATGAAAAGGTAGAGGAAGATGCTGTCACAGAACCTGTTTCTGGAGAGGAGGATATATCTAGCAGTATGGAAATTGACCAAAGTGAAAAGAATGAAGGTGAAAATTCTACAGACCTTGCAGAAACCATTAGTGAAAATGTTTTAAAAGATGACAAAAATGAGAATATATTAGAAAATACAGATTCTATGGAGACAGATGAAATTATTCCTATTTTGGAAAAGCTTGCACCTGCTGAAGATGAACTTACTTGCTTTTCTAAAACTTGTCTTCTTCCAATTGATGAAACAAATCCAGATTTGGAAGAGAAGATGGAAAGTTCTTTTGGTTCACCATCTAAACAAGAAAGTAGTGAGAGTTTGCCAAAAGAAGCCTTTTTGGTCCTCTCTGATGAAGAGGATATTTCAGGTGAAAAAGATGAGTCTGAAGCTATGTCACAAAATGAGTCATGCTCTCCAGGTTAGTATATTATTTACATTAAAAATTTTTTGATTAGCTTTAATAAACTTAAATAAAACACTCTCATAAAGATCTATATTTCTTTTAGTTGCAGAGAAAGTTGAGAATGATGATGGCTAGAATGATCTCTTAACTTGATAAATTCTTAACTTCACAGAATTCAGAATTACAAAGTATCCACTCTGAATGGCATTGTGTGAAGTGCTAAGGGAGCTAAAGTAAGAAGAAAATATGCCCCTTGCCCTTAAGGTATTTATGTTTAGGAGAGAGATAAGATAACACTATAGGACAACAATTTCAAGTCAGTGCATTCTTGATCAAAGTCCTAGGAATTGTTCTTGCTATTACTTAGCAACCACATAACTTATAATATAAAAACCTACTAGTTTATTTGCTTCAAGTGTTACAAATGACATTTTACAATTAATTTTCCCATTAACATCTGATTTCTTTTAATATTCTTTCGGGAATGATACTACCATTGCTGGAAGTGTTCAGATTGGCCAAAGGCTATTTGTGGTACTTCTGGGATTTCGTTATAGCAGTGCGATTGTGTGGATACTTTTAGAAATATTTTTGGGTAGCATTCTTTAATTGTTGTACTTTAGATGCCTTTAGTGAAAATAACTTAGCTGAATTTTTACTTTTCTCCTCTGTATGATGACAAAAATACTGTTTATAGTATAAGATTATATTGAGGTTATGAAATAATATATGTTAAGCACCTAGCTTGCTGTTGGGACTGGTATCAAAGTAGCTATTACTTTTAAGTTAAATGATCATTATTTTTAGGATAGCTTTTCCATTTCTCTTTTATGAACTGTCCCATAACCATTGAATAACAATGGTTCAATCTGTCTGGCCAAAATAATTAGGTATTTTGGCAGTAGTTTGCCAATGGTTTGTAATAGTCACAATCCCTGTTTTAGTTTTAGTAATTAAATGTAAGGAGTCTAACTGCTTTATGGTAGTTCTTAACACATTTTAGTAATCTGGCTGACAGTAAATTACTAAGTAGGAGTATTTATTTTAAAAACTCTGTACTATTAATTTTTGTCCATGTTAAGAGATTATTATGTATTTGTAGGAATACTTGAAAGTGGACTTGGTCATTCATTTCTACCAGTTCATGCTCCCTTTTAATTCTAAAATTTCATATCTTGAGATTGATTTCATAAATAATTATTAACTGGATATTTACACCAAGAGTGTAAATTATTATGTGCTGTTATGAATTCTAATGGAAGTAATGTTTCCTGTTCTCTTTTTTGTCACAGAGATACAAAATAATGAAAAGAACAAGAAATTAGACGAAGAAGAGCAAATAATACATGAAGATGAAAGACCGTCTAAGAAAAGTATGTATAAAAAAACTGAACTGATTTGAAAAATAGTAAATCATTCATTCTAGTTTGAAGACTGTAGATTATACTTTTATGTCCATGATGATTATGAAATTTTGCAATTTAAGTAAGCCACCGTTAAGTCATTTTGTTGATGGCTAAGGATCTTTGAAAGGATTAATTACTTTATAAACTTCAATGTTTTATTTTATTTATACTTTTCTTGTTTCATAAGAAAGATTTAAGCTTAATTTTAAGGTACTGTCTGAATATCTTGAGAGAAATTGTTTTAGATTTATGTTTAAAACATGGGACTATAAAGATTTTTTTTCTGGGGGTGATATTAGTGTTTCGGTCTGCTTAAGGCTCTAAAACTTCATGGGAAATGATAGCACTAAGTATCATTAAGTTTATAGGAAGATCATTGGACTAAAATTCAAGAAACCTGGGTTTTGTACCTGTCCCGTCATACTGCTCTCTGTGTATGATTTTAAGTTATGATTATAAGTGAAGTCATACAGTATAACTGGATTTTTAAAAATAGGCATGTAGATATGGATAGAGAGTAAAGTGGAGAGGGATAGGTGTGGTCACATAAGGGCATTTGCCATTAATAAGTGTAAAGATTTTAGTATTTTCACTTGATTTTTTAAAATCCTCACCCAAGGTTATGTTTTTTATTGATTTTTAGAGAGAGTAAGGGATGTGGGGGGAGAGAAAGAGAAAGAGAAAGAGAAACATCAATGTAAGAGATAAAGATTGATAGTCTGCCTCCCATGAGCACCCTGACGGGGGATTGAACCTGCAGCCTAAGCAGGTGCCTTGACTGGGAATTGAACACAAAACTATTTGGAATACGGGGTGACACTCTAACCAATTGAGCCACCCAATTAGGGGTCACTTTTTATATATTGAAAAATAAACCAGTTAAATTTTGCTTATGAGCTCATGAATATTAGCACTATTTGAAATAGAAATTTTCTAAGTGAAGATCTTTGAATATTCTTTACCAAATATACTTTTATAATTGTCATTAATTTTATTATTTTTACATATTTGAAATTCATTGGGATATGTTAAGAATGACCACTATTTTTTAAAAAAAAGAATAATATGTTATTTGTCCGAGGCTGATATATAAGTAGGAGTTTTTTTCTAGATTTATTGAGGGAAATATTTACTGAAGAGGAAGAGTTAAATAGAGCTGTGCATAGTTGTTAAAAATCTGTGACATGAGACTGAATACTGTATGTTGTCAGAGGATTAGTGATCACTATAATATTTAGCAATGGGAATCAGTGTGAGATTATTTCCTCTCATTTCATATTCACATTTTTAAGTGATTCTCCATTTTAATAGAAAGATTTCGATGATAAGATATTCTGTATTTACAGTGTACATTGCTTAACCTATAGGAAATTCTTATTTAGCATATTGAAAATCATTTCAGCTGAAACCTGTTTGGCTCAATGGATAGAGCGTCAGCTTGGGGACTGAAAGGTCCTGGGTTCGATTCTGGTCAAGGGCATGTACCTTGGTTGCGGGCATATCCCCAGTAGGGGGTGTGCAAGAGGCAGCTGATCGATGACTCTCTCTCATCGATGTTTCTAACTATCTTTCTCCCTTCCTCTCTGTACAAAATCAATAAAATATATTTTAAAAAATAAATAAGAAAATCATTTCAAGTTGAAAGCTAAAAGCTACATGTCTATTTTTCTGATCTCAAAAGTAATCCATAAAATAATTGATTGATAATACTATTGTGATAGCTAGAAATAATGTTTTGCTGAGAATGAAGAATTGGCATTAAGGTATTTAATAAAAAAACACCTGACAGATCATTATGCTTTTTGTCCTCAGTTGAATATTCCAGAAGAAAACGTTCTAAATCTGAGGACATGGACAATGTACAGTCCAAACGCCGTCGATATATGGAAGAAGAATATGAGGCAGAATTTCAAGTAAAGATTACAGCCAAAGGAGATATTAATCAGAAGCTACAAAAGGTATTATAGATTATAAATTGAAAATCCTATTAAGTAAAAAGCACCAACATGTTTATTTTTCTAGGTTTTTGAAAAAATTTTTTGTTTTTTACCGAAATATTCAGAGCACAAAAAAAGAGAACTTAAAAGTGGTTGAGCTTATTATCTTTAATAATTTAATTTTAATATTTCTCTTTTTAAAGCTACATATTTTATTTTAGATATGGTAGTAATTGTCAAATTGGAAGGGAGACTTGATGTCTTTTATTTACTTCAGTAACAAAACTGAACGTTTTCAGGTTTTATTTTTTTCTGTTATAATTGAACTTAATTGTAATAGAAACAGTCTTATGCTACTACTTTTATCTTTATAATAAGCTGGTTTCATGGTTGTAAGTTCCTACATTCTAAATTTTTGTTGTGTATTTTAGACTTAGTATTAAAAGTGGTAGAGACAAGGCTTTCCAAGGACTAGGGAGAGAGAGTAAACTACAGATATTCACATCCCCACAATCTGCTAAACTATACATAGAACTGAAAATATACATTATTTAATATTTTTTCAAAATGTTTTCACCCATGCTTATGACAAATTCCTTTTTAAGAGAGGAATATGCAACTCAGGTGAAATTAATTTTTCAAGTTCTTATCAATTTAATGATAAAATTATAAATAATTAGTTTTTAGACCAATATTCTTCCACTAAGATAAATATAAATATCCATACTAGGAAAAGAAATAGTGAGGCAGTAAGTAAAGTAGATTTTTTTTCTTCCAGTTTTTTTTTGTTATATGAAGATAAATAATGTTTATTTAGTATTTCTTATAGAGCTGATAGAAAGATAAAGATATCTCTGTGAAAGAATTTTGAAAACTTTTATGTGTGTTGAGAGTTTACTCCTCTTGAACAATGTCATTCAAGTATAATCCATGGACATGTACCATTTTTATTCGTTATGAGTCCATAATGAGATAAAAATGGAAATTGTGAGTACGCATTTAGAAATGTTTTATAGGAATTTTGTAGTGCACTGTAAGTATCTCACAAAAATATCTGGAACAGATTAGAAATATAAAAATCTTGTTTTTTAATTTGTTTCCTGTAAATTATGATTGAGTGTATGGGAAGAAAATATTAAAACTTCAATTTCAAATTATTTTTAAATTTCACCCTCTGGAAATTTTCTACTTTTTGTATATATTCTTTTTCAGTAGACATTATATATGTAGAAGGGGAGGATTTCAGGGCATCCATTGTGTAATAGATTCCAGCCTGGTTTTTTCATTAACCTACATAGTACTTAGCAATATTTACTGTTCAGTGCTTGCTGAAATGCCTTCTTTGCTGTAACAAAGGAATATGTATTTTTTTAGGTTGTACAGTGGTTGCTGGAAGAAAAATTGCGTGCACTACAGTGTGCTGTGTTTGATAAGACTTTGGCAGAATTGAAAACACGAGTGGAAAAGATTGAATGTAATAAGAGGCATAAAACAGTTCTTACTGAACTACAGGTTTGTACACTGACTTGAATTGTATGTGCATTTTGTAACATTGTTTTTGATACATTTTTTAACTTGTCAATAAAATATATCTAATTTCTAAATTTTAGAAGTAAGAGGAGCCTCTGTTAGTTTTCTAGGACTGCCACAAAAGTGGTGCCATTAACTGGGTGGCTTAAACAACAGAAACATATTGTTTCATAGTTCTGGAGGCTAAAAGTTGTATATCAAGGTGTTGACCTTGATATACAACTTTTAGCCTCCAGAACTATGTGATTGTTTCTTTCTGAGGGTATGAGGAAGAATCTGTACCATGTGTCTCCTCTGGTTTCTGATGATTTGTTTATTGACAGTTATGAGTGTTACTTGCCTTGCAAATGCATTCACCCTGATCTCTGGCTTTATCTTCATGTGACTCTTGTACCTGTTTGTGTCTGTGTCTAAATCTCCCCTTTTTTACAAGGATACCTACCAGTCATATTGGATTGAGGACCACCCTTGTATTAGCATGACCTCATATAAACTAAATACCTCTGCAACTACTTATTTACAAATACGGTCACATTCTGAGATACTTGGGTTTCAGATGTAGTATATGAGGTTTGGATATAAACAGTTTAACCCATAATACAGCCTCAGAAATTATATACTTAGTACTTCCTAAATACTTTTTTAGTCACCAAAGAAAGACTGGCATCATCTCACTTGTCATAAGTATTAAGTAATATTTGTTGTACGTTATTCCTTATATATTAATCACTTTGTTAAACAAGGTCCAATGTGTCTGATTCCCATAGTTGTGTAACTTATATTTAAATAGCTACCATTGTGCCATTACCAAGAAATTACAGATAAGCCGAATGAGGAAACCAAGGGCAAATGAAATAGAAGTAGTAATCAAATACATAATAACAGAATATGACTGTCCTGAACTAAAAAAAAAAAAAAGTTCATGGCTTTTATTTTATTTTTATTTAAATATGCTTTTATTGATTTCAGAGAGGAAGGAAAAGGAAGAGAGAGATAGAAATATCAATATTGAGGAGAATCTTTGATTGGCTGCCTCCTGCATGCCCCACACTGGGGATCAAGCCTGCAACTTGGGCATATGCCCTGACTGGGAATCAAACCATAATCTCCTGGTTCATAGGTCAATGCTCAACTATTGAGCCATGCCAGCCGGGCTGTTCGTAGCCTTTAAAAAAAAAATCTCAGAGAGTACTTGCCAAAATAGAAATCCAGTCTTAGACATATGATGGCAGGTATTTAGAATTATAATTTAGAAAAAATTGTTCATTTTCCTAGATTAAAACAACTTTGATTTTTAAAAAATAATAAATGACAAAAGATAAGTCCATTTTCAAAACTTTGGTTTTCATTCTCTGCTAATAGTTTACTTTTTTAAGTGATAAAAACAATTTTTTTAAAAGTGTTGAATACTACAGATATATATGATATGAAAATGAAGTCCTTCTCCATATATTCTCCCTTAAGGTCTGCCGATCCTAGTCTGTAGAGGTTACCACTTTTACTTTGGTATTTATCCTTCTAGACATTCTCTCATACATAACAAACAAAAACAAAATTTAAAAAAATAATTTTTTAATTAGTTTTCATTTTTTAGTGAAAATAGTATTATGTTACAAACAAAGCAATTTATAGAATACCCACCAGCTAGTCTGACTAAATTCACAATGAAAGATTCTTGTATAAGTTGGGATATAAGAACACCTTTTAACATACTTTTCTTGAAAAAGTTGCATGAAATATTTTAGTCACAGAAAGGTAAATTCATATTAAGAATATAAAATCATGCTGTTCTGTCCTTGGGTGTTAATCATAAATAACTTAACTCCTGAGGAAAATCTTCAGTTTGGGAATCACAGGTGATTTTTAGGCTTTGCGAGTGGACTTAAATAAGTTGGAAAGTTTGGGGTCTCCTTTAGAAGTGACTACTTCCTGAAAGGAACTTTAAAAATAGATAATACCATTTTTTAAAGTGATGTGTTTATATTAGATATAAGAAATTCTCTGGAGGAGCTCTTCCTTAGGCCTCATGAATACATTCAGTAGCTTAGTTTATAATTTTTGAAAATATATTTGCTATACAATTGCAATAACAATAGTAGTAAAAAGAATTGACTGCCCTGGCTGGGTGGGTCAGTTGATTGGAGTTTTTTCTCATACACCAAAAGGGTTGATTCCTGGTTTGATCCCAGGTCTGGGCACATACAGGAGGCAACTGATCAATGTTTCTCTCTCTCCCTTCCCCTGTCCTCCTCTCCCCCTCCTCCTCTTTCCCCTTCTGTCCATCTCTCCTTCTTTCCCTCCATCTCTCCCCTTCTTCATCTTCTCTCTCAAATCAATAAACATATCCTCAGGTGAAGATAAAAAATAAAAAATAAATTGAATATCACCTCTATGCCTTAGTAAAAGTCCTAAGGGAAATATAAAGTGTTTACATGTGGTGATGTGATAATTTTTTTTAGTTTTTTTTCTTTCTGTTCTAATTTAAAATTTTCTCTGAATATGTATTTGGGCAAAATATGTGTTTAGTCAGTTTATGTAAGCAGTACAAATGATAAAATAATTTCTCTGACAAATATTAATACTAACAAGGTAACATTTTCCTCAGATTATTAAAGAATAACAGAATAATGAAATTAAATGTTTCAGAGTAATATTACATGAGCATTCATATAACTGCTATTGAAATTAGAAATGAGCAAAGCTTTTCTGAAAAACATTTAGACAAGAGTCTTAAAAATAGCCGAAGCCAGTTTGGCTCAGTGGTAGAGCGTCGATCTGCCGACTGAAAGGTCCCAGGTTCGATTCCGGTCAAGGGCATGTACCTTAGTTGTGGGCACATCCCCAGTGGGGGGTGTGCAAGAGGCAGCTGGTCAATGTTTCTCTCTCATCGATGTTTCTAGCTCTCTATCTCTCTCCCTTTCTCTCTGTTAAAAATCAATAAAAATATATTTTAAAAAAAAAGAGCCTTAAAAATATACTCTGACTTAGGAATTCTGTTTCTGTGAATGTTGCCTATGGAAATCATGTGAAAGAACAAACATTAATTGCAGTGTTATTTGACTCTGGCAGTACATTTGTGAAATATTCCAGGAAAGTGGAATATATGTGATTTAATATATATGATAGCCTATATAATAACGAGGTAATATGTAAATTGACTATCACTCAACACACAGGATGACCACCCTCAGGTGGACACAAGATGGCCAGCAGGGGAGGGCAGTTGTGGGTGATCAGGCCAGCAGAGGGCAGTTGGGAAGGACCAGGTCTGCAAGGGAGGGCAGTTGGGGGGGGACCAAGCCTGCAGGGGAAGGCAGTTGGAGGGGACCAGGCCTGCAGGGGAGGGCAGTTGGGGGGTACCAGGCTTGCAAGGAAGGGCAGTTAGGGGCAATTGGGCTGGCAGGGGAGCAGTTAGGCGTCGATCAGGCTGGCAGTTGAGTGGTTAGCGGTTGATCAGGCTGGCAGGCAGAAGCGGTTAGGGACAATCAGGAAGGCAGGCAAGCAGTTGGGAGTCAGCAGTCCAAATTGTTAGAGGGGCAGTTGGACATCCCTCAAGGGGTCCCAGACTGGACAGGGTGCAAGATGGGCTGAGGGATACTTCCCCCACCCCCCATGCACAAATTTTGTGCACTGGGCCTCTAGTGTGTGTGTGTATCAGTGGTATATATTGATTCAATATATTATACCCATAAGTAGTATTAGCAAGGGATCTTTATTACTTATAGATACACTTATTTTTACTACTGCATAATTCTCTGTGAGAAAATTAAATGTGATTACAACTATGGTTAAAAATAACAAAAAACAATCAGATATTCAGAAATGTACTGGTTTGTGAGCAAACATCCACAGTTCTAGGAGGAAAAAAGCTAACCGTATAAAATTAAGAGTGTTTATCTGCGGGTATCAAATTTAAATCTATTTTAGTTTTCATTACAATTTTCTGTTTTTTTTAAATATATATTTTACAATCAGGTTACTTTATTTTTGTTGTTAGCTATTGTTTGAGGATCCTGTTACCTGTGAGTTTCTCGTAATATAGTCTCCATTTTAATGCCATAATGCCACTTGATTTCTTTTCCCATTTTTGCTTTTTGTAGGCCAAGATAGCCAGGTTAACCAAACGCTTTGGAGCAGCCAAAGAAGATCTTAAGAAAAGACAAGAAGTAAGAATTTCTATTCTTGCACAATTAATATTTAGCTCTAACTGACAATCTTAGGGAATGCTGAATTAGGAGGAAACACTTCCTTTATTATAGTTCTGAAATTTGCTTTCATTCACTATATCTACTATATGTTGTTTCTACAGCTCTATAATTTTTAACCCTTTCCTAATTTTAGATTTTTAATTCTTATCAATTACTTTTATCTTACGGCATTGTTGAAGCCATATTTTCTATGCATTTTTAAAATTATGTTTTTTGTGCCCTAACTTGTTTGGCTCAGGGGATAAAACATTGGCTTGCAGACTGAAGGGGCTTGGGTTTGATACTAGTCAAGGACACATGCCCTGATTGTGGGCTCGATCCCCAGTAGTGGGTGTGCAGAAAGGCAGCCTATCAATGATTCTCTTGCATCATTGATGTTTTTATCTCTCTCTCCCTCTCCCTCCCTCTCTGAATTCAATATATGTTTTAAAAAGTTACGTTTTTTTGTTTTGTTCTAGTCTAATCTGTTATCATTTTAGTATTCCACTGCCTTCAATAGTCCTGTTCTGCCCTTCCTTTCTTACACTATGTAAGTTAAGTCCAAACATGGTAGAATAACATAAACAATATTCTGTAGTCTAGTTTTTCTTTTTGTTGTTTCCTTAGTTACTCTGTAGTACATTATTTAAACATTTTAAAAATACGTTTTTATCGATTTTTACAGAAAAAGAAAGGGAGAGAGAGAGAGAAACATGGATGTGAAAAACATCGATTGGTTGCCTTCTGCATGCATCCATTCCAACAGGGATCGAGCTTGAAACTTGGGCATGTGCCCTCCCTATTGGGTATCGAATTGGCTACCTTTTGGTGCACAATGATGACATTCAACCAAGTGGAGCATGCAGTACATATTTTTAATATAGCATTTGCATGTTGCTTTATAGTTTTTAGTTGAATTTCTTTCTCTTCCTCTTGACTTTTATACCCATTTGAGCAATTCACATTTCTTTTTGTCTTGATAGATCCATTGTCTGACACATGATAATTGCCAATAATAATTATTTTATTAATAATCACTATTTCTACAGGATTTTTCTCTCTTGATTCATTTTCCTATCTCACTTGACTGAAAACAATTTTATAGTTTCAACCTTACCTTGTCCCTCCACCGCCACTCCCTCTCTTCCCCCAGTAGCAAATAATTTGTTCTTCATCTTTTTTTAAAATATATTTTATTGATTTTTTACAGAGAGGAAGGGATAAGAATAGAGAGCTAGAAACATCAATGTGAAAGAGACATTGATCAGCTGCCTCCTGCACACCCCCTACTGGGGATGTGCCCGCAACCAAGGTACATGCCCTTGACCGGAATCGAACCTGGGACCCCTCAGTCCACAGACCAACGCTCTATCCACTGAGCCAAACCGGTTTCGGCTGTTCTTCATCTTTAAATTGTTTTTACTTAACTTTTAAAATTCTGTTTTATCTCTTTTTTCCTTGAGTAACTGACAGTTGGGTTTTTTCCTTTGTTCTATATAGACTAATTTCCCCAAACTCACTTAGGCATACCCAAAGATTTTTTTTATTATAGTTTTCTTCAATTATGTAATTTCTTGATTTTAAATTCCACTTTCTCAACTTTGTTTCTTTGTCATAATGTGTAAAATGAGCTATTTTATTCCTTATATTAGAAAATTTGTATAAATTTTTTGGAACCATTTTTATTTGCTATGCCTGCTATGCCTCGTAAAATACATAGACATTCACTAGATATTTATTGAATGAGAATATCTGGTTTATTATTAATATTTTTATTGTTTTGTTTATTGAGCCCTTAAAGCATGTAAACCATTTTCATAGTCTTCATTTTATTGGCTCATCTCAAAAAACTGAGGTATCACAATTATTACATTTGTTTTTCATATAATAAACAGTTGTTTCCATTAAGTACTGTGCTTAAGATACAGCTAACAAGTGGTAATTCCAGGATTCACATTCTTGTCTCAACTAATAATATTTTTCACGGAATTATAGAAGTAACAGATAATATATTGATAAAATATTTAAGGTCTTGTTTTTAAAGATTTGTTTTATTTTACCTTGGTATTTTTCTCCCTCAGAATCCACCAAATCCACCTGTACCTGTATCACCAGGAAAGCCTGTAGTTGAAGTCACCAGCAATAATAATGTTCCCTATAGGTGAGAATAATAAACAGTCTATTTGTCAAGTTTTTTTTAAAACAATATCTTTTATTTATTTATTTTTTTATATTACTTAATTGATTAAGATATCACATATTTGTCCTATTTGTCAAGTTTTAATTTCTCCCTCAGTGGGGGATATTTTTCCATTGCTTTTAGCTATAGTGGAAGGGAGAAAAAGGGAGGTGGGGAGGGAAGAAGGGTTACTGTAGTTGGGGGGAGAAAATCGATGTGAGAGAGACACATTGACAGGTTGTCTCCTGCATGTGGGGACTGAACCTGCAACCCAGATATGTACTGTTGACTAGGAATCAAACCTAGAACCCTTTGATGCATGGGCCTACTCTAACCACTGAGAACACTGGCCAAGCCCTCTTTTTCTACCTTTTAAAAATAAAATTCACTCATTTTTCCCACCCACCAGCCCCCACTTTTGGCAACTACCAATCTGTTCTCTATATGAATTTTAAAATTACATATATATTTTTAGATTTCTTAAAATAAATTTTGTTTTTTTAGATTTCTTTCTCTGTTTAATTTTACTTATCAGAATGTCATCAAGATCCATCCATGTTGGGGGGCAAATGGGAAAAAAATTTTTATGGCTAAATAATACTCCAATGTGTGTATGTATGAAAGTTTGTTTATCCATTCATCCATAGGTAAACACTTAATTTGTTTCCATATCTTGGTTATTTTAAATAATGCTGCATTGAAAATGGTGGTGCATATATCTTTTCTAATTAGCGTTTTGGTTTACTTCAAACAAATATCCATATGTGTAATTGCTGTATTATATGGTAGCTCTATTTTTAATTTTTTGAGGAAGCTTTGTACTGTTTTCCATAGTGGCTGCCCCAATTTTCATTTGCAGCAATAGTGTGCATGATTTTTAAGTAGCAAGGCTTACAAGTTTCCAAATAAATCATATATAGGATCTAATGAACAAAATAAACTCAGAGACATAGAAGCATGGTACAGACTGTCGAATCTCAGTGGGAATGTGTGGGTAGGTGGGAAGAGATCAAAGAACTTGTATGCATGTAACCCATGGACACAGACAATAGGGTGGGTGAAGGCCTGGGATGAGGGGTGGGACGGTTAGAAGGAGTCAGTAGGGGGAGGAGGGTGGGAAGAGGGCATATGTAATACTTCCTTTTTTGGTAATATTTTCAGCAATAAAGATTTTTTTTAAAGTAATAAAATAATAAGAAAAAGTTTCTGATTTTATTTTGCAGAAACATCTTGGAATCTAATCTTATGTATTTGTATAGAGGTAATAAGTAGTATACTGAATTAAGTGTATTTCCTTCCTTTTTGCTTTGTTATAATTGTCATTTGTGGAAAGTTTATTATAAAGCTTTTTTTGGTCATTTCAGATTTTTTTTTATCACTTGTACTAAATAGTATTCTCTCAAATAACTGAGAAATGCTTTGGTCAGGGGTGATAAAAACTAGTGTCTGCAGATTTTAGGACCTACATTTGGTTTTCAGGTAAAAGTATTGAGGACGTTAGAATATAAGGGAAGACTCTTTCCTAATGTCATAGGACACCTCCCCTCTTGCCCCTAGCATTCTGAATTCTATGTGTTAGTTTTTCCTCAGTGCATTCACTTGAAGTTTAATGCTGCAATGCCTGTCTAACCACTCTTTTTTCCCCTATGGGCCACTACTTTATCTAAACATAAATTGATGTTCCCTACAATGTTATATTTATGACTGACTATTTTTGTGTGTGTATATATATATATTCCATAGAAATGCAGGTACAGTGAGACAGTTGCTGGAGTCCAAAAGAAATGTAAGCGAGAGTACACCACCATCCATTCAAACCCCTGTGAATACAGGTAACAATATTCTTTAATAATGAAATACATTTTCTTAGTGTAATTGAATGCTTTGGTTTCTTTTACGGATGAAATTTGATAAGAAACTGAGCATACTGATCTAAATTTGAATGCTTAAGTATATAATTTTATTTAAACTTTAGTGGCTCAGTGCACGAAATTTGTGTACGGGGGAGGGGAGGAGGTATTCCTCAGCCCAACCTGTACCCCCTCCAATATGGGACCCTTAGAAGGATGTCCTACTGCCAGTTTACAGGGATTGGGCCTCTCACAACCTGGGACTGCTGGCTCCACCCGCTCACCCGCCTGCCTGCCTGCCTAATTGCCCCTAACCACTCTGCCTGCTAGCCTGCTAACCCCCAAATGCTCCCCCTGCCAGCCTGATCACCCCCAACTGCCCCCCATGCCAGCCTGTTCACCTCCAACTGCCATCACCCCTTGCTGGCCTGCTCACTCCAAACTGCCCCCTACCCCCGCTGTCCTGATCACCTCCAACTGACCCCCACTGACAATCTGCTCATCCCCAACTGGGCCACCTGCTGGTCTGCTTACTCTCAATGGCCCCTGCCATCTCATTTTGGCCTGATCACCCTCCAGCGACCCAAGGTCCCAGCCCCTCCTTTTCTTTCCTTTTTTTTTTTTCCTCAACGCCTCCTTGAGTGGAGGCCAAAGCTGGCTGGAAGCAAGTATCTAGGGTTTATTTATCTTTTATAATTGAAACTTTGTAGCCTTGAGCGGAGACCAGAGCTGGCCAGGCCCGGGCAACCCAAGCCTCCTGCTTGCTCCAGCTCCGTGGCCAGCCACCATCTTGGTTGAGTTAATTTGTATAACCACTCCTAATTGGCTGGTGGGTGTGGCTTTTAGCTGTAGCAGAATGACAGTTAATTTGCATGTTTCTCTTTTATTAGTGTAGATTAGAGGCACAATGCATGAATTCATGCATGGGTATAGTCCAGCTGACCCAGCCCCAATTGGGTGGCTGGCTATATATATATATATATATATATATATATATATATATATATATCCATCCCAGTGCATGAAATTCATGAACTTGGGAGGGTCTCTCAGCCCGGCTGCACGCTCTCATAGCCTGGGAACCCTTAGGGGATGTCCGACTGATGGCTTAGGCCTGCTCTGCTGTAAACCATCAATTGGACATTCTTATTGCTGCCACAGAAGCAGGAGAGGCTCCTGCCACTGCCAGTGTGCTCGCCAGCCATGAGCCTGGCTTCTAGCTGAGTGGTGCTCCACCTGTGGGAGCACACTGACCACCAGGGGGCAGCTGCTGCGTTGAGTGTCTGCCCCTTGGTGGTCAGTGTGCATCAGAGTAACGGGTCATTTTGCCATTCAATCGATTTGCATATCAGCTATTTATTTATTTATTTATTTATTTATTTATTTATTTATTTATTTATTTTTAAAGTCACCGTTTTTATTTTATTATTTTAAAAAAATATATTTTGTTGATTTTTTGCAGAGAGTGATAGAGAGCTAGAAACGTCAATGAGAGAGAAACATCAACCAGCTGCCCCTCTTGCACACCCCATACCAGGGATGTGCCTGCAACCAATGTACATGCCCTTGACCAGAATCGAACCTGGGACCTTTCGGTCCGCAGACCAACGCTCTACCACTGAGCCAAACCGGCTTCAGCAAGGCTACCTTTTTTAGAGAGTTGTGGATATTTTCTTTGAAAGTCAAGTAGTAGTTTGTTTGTTTATTTTTTTTTATTGATTTCAAAGAGGAAGGGAGAGGGGGAGAGAGAAACATCAATGATGAGAGAGAATGGAATCAAAACTGCAACCCTTCAGTCTTCAGGCTGATGCTCTATCCACTGAGCCAAGCCCTATAGGGCTATTTTGTTTCCTTTTTACTGTGAACATGTGATGGTAAAGAATGTAGTGATAATTTTAGTACTACTACTTTATTTTTGTACTGAAGTATCATAAGTTTTACTCACCATTGCTTTGGCTCCATCAGTGCAAATATCTACATGGTGAAAAGTAAAGTAATGTTTTATTATTGATGAGAAAATAGTTTTGATATTGCAAGCTCCTGAAAGTGTCTCAGTTACCCCAAGTATCCCGCAAACCATACCTTGAAAATTGCTGCTCTAAATATGCTTGTGATTTTGGAAGAAACAGTACAAATCAATGAGAAAGACCCTTATTTCACCTCCCATCTACACTCTGCCATCTTCCATCTATATATATAAAAGGCTAATATGTAAAGTGTCCCCTTGGGAGTTTGACCAGGAGACAGAGTTTGATCACTCACTATGAAGTGTGTTGACCACCAGGGGGCGGTGTGGAACAAAGAAAGGCCCGGGCCAGCAGCTGGGAAAGCAAAGCTTCAGCCAGCATCTGGGGAAGGAAGGCCCCAGTAGGCAACTGAAAGGCCATGATCACAGGCCAGGCTAGCGACCCTACATGGGCATGAATTTTGTACACTGGGCCTCTAGTCCTATATAATAAAGAAATAATATGCTAATTAGACCAATAGCAGAACAGCCTTTTGGAATGACCAGTGGTCATGGGGCAGGGCCATGAAGCAGCCTGGGCTGCGAGGGGTGAGCCCCTTGCACGAATTTTGTGCATCGGACCTCTAGTATTATATAATGTTAAAAGATTGTCAGTATAGTCAGCCTTGTCAGTATAGTCAGTATTGTCAGTATAGTTCCTCTCCCAGGCAATTCAATTCAACTTGATCTGAAGATCCAATCTCATATGGTCCAAATGATAAAATACATTACTAAGTTTACCTATTTATTGATAGTGATGATTCTGACTAGACTTTCTATTGAGTTTATATATTGCTAGTGTCCCAAAGTATTTGTAATGTTTTTTTTAATTATTATTATTTTTAAATATATTTTTATTGATTTTGTACAGAGAGGAAGGGAGAGAGAGTTAGAAACATCGATGAGAGAGAGTCATCGATCAGCTGCCTCTTGCACCCCCCTACTGGGGATATGCCCGCACGACCAAGGTACATGCCCTTGACTGAAATTGAACCCGGGACCCTTCAGTCCCCAAGCCGATGCTCTATCCATTGAGCCAAACCGGTCTCGGCAGTATTTGTAATGTTTTAAATGTAGTTTCAAAAATATCTAGATAATATTACCAATTTTTCAGTTATTTTTCAGTTATGCTATAGTTATTACAATAATTTTCAGACACTGTTTTGATAAGGAGATAGCAATCCAATTTATTAATCATAAATCATGTGATGTTTTCATAATATACTGATCATAGGTGCAAAATGCTTCTACAAATTTAATTCTAAGAAGTTCAAGAATTTAAATCTGGAAAAAATTTTATTATGAAGGACTTTACTGTATCTACTGTAATCCATTAAGTTTCCATTGTGTTATCCTAGCTGATAAATGGAGATAGCCATTTAAACTGAGATTTCTTTTTTCTTTCTATAGTGTCTTCAACCAATCTCATCACTCCTCCAACAGTTGTCAGTAGTCAACCTAAATTGCAGACTCCAGTGACTTCGGGTTCTCTGACACCAATTCTTCCTGCACCCAGCACAGCTACAGTAGTTGCTACTACTCAGGTGCCTAGTGGAAATCCCCAGCCTACAATATCTTTACAATCATTACCAGTGATTTTGCATGTACCTGTTGCAGTATCCTCCCAACCTCAACTCCTACAGAGCCATCCTGGAACTTTAGTAACTAATCAACCATCTGGCAACGTTGAATTCATTTCTGTACAGAGCCCACCTACAGTGAGCAGTCTCACCAAAAATCCAGTATCCTTGCCATCCTTGCCAAATCCCACTAAACCAAACAACGTTACTTCTGTGCCCAGTTCTAGTATTCAAAGGAACTCTCCTGCTAGTGCTGCACCATTAGGAACAACACTTGCTGTACAGGCTGTTCCAACAGCACACTCTATTGTACAAGCCACAAGGACTTCTTTACCCACAGTAGGCCCATCAGGACTCTACAGTACATCAAATAATCGTGGTCCTATACAGATGAAAATTCCAATTTCTGCTTTTAGTACTTCATCTCCTGCAGAACAGAGCAGCACTACTACCCCAAGAATTGGTAAGTCAGTGTCTAGATTTAATAATAGAAAAGAAAGCTTACTAATGATATGTAGATAATTGATCTTTTATGTTTGCTTGTAGAAGTGGCTAGCATTATTGGAAAAACAAAGTAAATAGAATATCCTGCAGGTTATTTTTAGTGAGCTTTTAGTTACATAAGAAATTATGTTGTTAAAATGGGATTTGAGAGAGAGAGATTGTTTTGAGTGAGAGGCTAGCATTCATATTTAACTTTTAGGAATTTTTCTAATATGGATGAATTTTTTTATTTTAATTAAAAAAATTTTTTTTAATATACTTTATTGATTTTGTACAGAGAGGAAGGGAGAGAGATAGAGAGTTAGAAACATCGATGAGAGAGAGTCATCGATCAGCTGCCTCTTGCACACCCCCCACTGGGGATATGCCCGCAACCAAGGCACATGCCCTTGACCGGAATCGAACCCGGGTCCCTTCAGTCACCAAGCCGACGCTCTATCCATTGAGCCAAACCGGTCTCGGCTATGGATGAAGTTTTTATTTAGGCTTTGTAGCAAGCATTATTTTATAATACATTTCAGGATTATATGAATAGAATGAATTTGTTTTAAAGTATATAATTCACCTAATAAATGCTTAAAAGAGGAAAATAAACATCAGATATTTTCCCTACCCATTTGTATGCTCATCACTCACATCTTCCAAATTTGAACAGTTTAAAATAGGTTCTGCACTTTATAGTTTACTACACAATACTTGATTGTTTTTTGTTTTATATTTTTCCCTATGACATATTATATGATTATGTATGTATACATGTGTACTTTGAAGTATTGCAAAAGGAGAGCTTGATTGTATCTGCATTTAAAATCTTTTAAACACTTCTTTTAACTACATTTTGTATGCATTCTTTTTTTTTTTCAATTATAGTTGACATTCAATATTATTTTATCTTAATTTCAGTTATAGAATAGTGGTTAGACATTCATATAATTTATGAAGTGATTTCTTTGATAAGTTTAGTAACCACCTGGTACTATACATAGTTATTACAATATTATTGACTATATTCCCTACAATATATATTATATCCCTATGACTATTTTGTAACTACCAATTTGTATTTCTTAATCCCTTTAGCTTTTTCACCCAACCCTCATCCCATCTGGCCACCATCAGTTTGTTCCTTTGAATAATTAACACTTAGCCTAGAGAGAGGTTCATGCTGGGTAACAAATCTCTTATAGTTATTTAAATTATAAGTGTGTGTGTGTATGTGTGTGTGTGTGTGTGCGCACATGTACGTATGCATGTTTATGTATATAAAGCACAACCCAACTTTTCACATTTTAGGTGCTTTTAAAAATGGCTGACTTTTTAAATTTTGACTCCTCAGAAAGCCAGACAAACAAAACAATCGATACTTCTGTTAAGAAAGCAGCTGATAGCACATCACAGGTAAGATTTTCCTTCTGTTTCAAATTAAAATTCTAATAGTCCATGAAAGAATGGATTTCTACCAATATTCTTTAATACAATGAAAATTATTCTGTGTTCTTTACAACTCTTCAAATATTTCCAAACAGCTTCTCTGTAATATTGTACAAGAACTGACTTTTTTTGCTTAGTAATTCTCCTAGAAATAATGTTAGTTTATTATATTGTCTAACTGCTTGGCTTATATAATTGACAGTCCAGCTATTTGCCTAAGTGACAAATAAAAAATAGTGTGAAATAGCCTATGATTCTTTGGAATATCCCTTTCTGATTACTTATGACTAACATTTTTTTCTGTAAGAAATCTTTAAAGTTAGTAGAGTTTCAAAGAAATCTGAATGGCCAGTATGAAATGGTTGTTGTTTAATCAGACCTAGTTAGGAACTCTTTAAATATGAAAAATATTGCCGAAACTGGTTTGGCGCAATGGATAGAGCGTCGGCTTGGGGACTGAAGGGTCCCGGGTTCAATTCCGGTCAAGGGCATGTACCTTGGTTGCGGGCATATCCCCAGTAGGGGGTGTGCAAGAGGCAGCTGATCGATGACTCTCTCTCATCGATGTTTCTAACTCTCTATCTCTCTCCCTTCCTCTCTGTACAAAATCAATAAAATATATTTAAAAAAAAATAAAATAAATATTTAAAATATTATCTTTTTTGTAGTCACTGAATGAAATTTCTCTAATGTCCTCCTAATAATTATTTGTCAACATATTTTATGTAAAATGTATTATTATAACATATATTTTATTCACATATCTCATTTCACACAATACATCATTAATATATTTAATACTAGAGAATTTTGTGCACAGGGTGCCAGGAGAAGGGGGGTAGAGGGTATCCCTCAGCCCAGCCTGCACCCTCTCCAATCTGGGATCCCTCTCACAAACCGGGATTGCTGGCTCTCAACTGCTCGTCTGCCTGCCTGATTGCCCCTAACTGCTTCTGCCTATCACCCCTAATCACTTCCCCGCCAGTCTGATTGATGCCTAACTGCACCCCTGCCAGCCCGATTGCCCCTAAATGCCCTCCCCTGTAGGCCCAGTCTCCCCCAACTGTCCTTCCCTGCAGGCCTGGTTGCCCCTAACTTCCCTCCTCTGCTGGTCTGGAAGAAGCCAAACTTTCCACCTGCACTTACCAGCCTAAGCCTCCACTCAAGGCTACAAAGTTTCAATTATAGAAGGTAAACAAATCCAAACAGAAATGGCTGCCGGCCACTTCTTGGCTCCGCTCCAGGCTACAAAGTTTCAATTGTAGAAGGTAAATAAATTCTAGATACTAGGGCCTCCTCTTGGGTAGCCAGGGGGCGTGGCTGGCCTGCAAACCTCCACAGGCCCCTTGTTTAGGCCACCCCATGTCCAAGGGAACCCCCACCCTGATCCGGGACACCCTTCAGGGTAAACCAGCTGGCCCCCACTCGTGCACCAGGCTTCTATCCTATCTAATAAAAGAGTAATATGTAGATTGACCATCACTCCAACACACAAGATCAAGATAGCTGCCCCCCTGTGGTCAAAGATCCTGCCCCCATGTGGACACTACAAGATGGCCAGCAGGTGAGGGCAATTGGGGTAACCAGCTGGCAGAGGAGGGAAGTTAGGGGCAAACAGGCTGGCAGGGGAGCAATTAGGCATCAATCATGCTGGCATGGGAGTGGTTAGAAAGGATCAGGCTGGCAGGCAGAAGTGGTTAGGGGCAATCAGGAAGGCAGGCAGGTGAACAGTTGGGAGCCAGCAGTCCTGGATTGTGAGAGGGGTAGTCGGACATCCCTCGAGGGGTCCCAGATTAGAGAGGGTGCAGGCTGGGCTGAGGGACACAACCCCTCTGTGCATGAATTTCATGCACTGGGCCTATAGTAATCTTATAATTGCTATTAATTATTGAAATAATTACCAATTTTATTTCTCAAGAAGAAAACATAGCCAGTAATATGTAATAATAGATAAGTCAGGTTATGACCAATAAAAATATAGCAGATTAGATTTTATTATAGACCTTCTTGTCCTATTAAAGAGCATATATTATAGGAAAATATGCATCTTACAATAGAGCATCAAAACATGACATGAAGGCTACCAAATTTATTGAAGAAATAGCCAAATAGGCCATTTTATCATTATGAAGTTTCCCTCTTTGTATCTTGGCTAATATTTACATGGTCACAGCAGCTTTTATATATATATATTTTTTTTTATTTTTTTATTTTTTTATTTTATTTTATTTTATTTATTTATGTCTTTATATTTAAAGTATATGCCTAGGAGAAAGAAACAACATTTCTTTATATCTTATCTCATGTGACAATCCCAATTTTTTTATAGGAATTTTAGTGTACAGGTGGTATAATTATTGATATGGTTGTAGTTAGGTCTGTGTTTTTTTGGTTTTTAAAAAAATATATTTTATTGATTTTTTACAGAGAGGAAGAGAGAGGGATAGAGAGTTAGAAACATCTATGAGAGAGAGTCATCGATCAGCTACCTCTTGCACACCCCCTACTGGGGATGTGCCCTCAACATCTGGTACATGTCCTTAACCAGAATCGAACCAGGGACCTTTCAGTTCTCAGGCCGACACTCTATCCACTGAGCCAAACCGGTTTCAACTGGTCTGCTTTATAATTTTAAAAAATCCCCCCCCCCTTTATTTTGTGTTAATCTTTTGGGGTTTTTAAAAACATTTTATCTTAATTCTCCTGTTTCCCTTTTATTTTTGTTTTTCAGTTTCTACTTCTTAATTCCACACTCATTAATATATAATTCTCTTCTCTCTCTCTCTCACCCGAGAATACTTTTTCAGTGATTTTTAGAGAGAGTGAAAGAGAGGGAAAAACAACATCCATGTGAAAGAAACATATCAATTGGTTGCCTCCTACATGCACCCAGGAGGGCCTAGGCCAGGGAGGAGCCTGTAACCGTAGTAGCTTTGATTGATGGGAATTGAACCGGGAACCCTTTGGTCCGCAAGCAGATGCTCTATCCACTGAGCCAAACTGGCTAGGGCCTTTGAATATTTTTTTTAACAGCTACTTTGCAGTCTTTGCTAAATTCAAAATCTGGCTTCACTTGGAACCATTTTCTATTAACTACCTTTTGTCTTTGGTTGTATTGTGGTCTTTGCATATTTGTCTAGTAATTTTTGTTGTTGGTTTTGTTGTTGTTATCTTGAGGGTCCCCTGGATATTGCACTATTCTCATCTGCTCCCTGTAGACACTTTAACTGACCCTCACCTACTTCCCCCACCTCCCTTCAGGTCGCCAAGTGTAATATAAACACTAAAACCTCGGTGTCTACAGGGAGTGACCTGTGGTGGGTGGAGCTCCAGGGGAGCTAGTATTTACTGTGCAGGAGGCTTAAAGCTCACAAAGGCGGTGTGGTGGTTGGCGTTCCAGGTTTGGGGGCTCTGAGTCCAGAAAACTCTGAGGATGAAGAGAACTTGGATTTGGGGACAAAAGGTCGGTGACCTCCAGATTTGTGGTGGGGAACAGAGTCGGTTGAAATACAGGACTGGGGAGTCTGGGAGGACCGATTTGGGATGTGGTACTTGTAGGGGTGCTGGAGTCTGAGCCCGAGGCCATATTGTGGGGGAGGGGATAGGAGGGCACGCAGCCCAGGAGGGGAGCCAAGGCTGGCAAGGGTGGGCTGGGGCAGCCCCGCGGTAGTTACGCACAGAGAGACACAGCCACGCACAGCCACACAAAGGACTGGGAGTCGAAGCTGTCCACAGTGATGGTAAGCAGCTCCGGCTCCTTAATCCTAATCTCCTGCCTCTTAATTCTGATCTCCAGCTCACAGAGCTCCAGGATTGGAGGTAGAGGCAGAGCGAGCTGGAGGCTGGCGGGGGTGTGGGGTAGGGTGAGGTGAGGTGGGGTGGGGGTGGGGGTGTGGGGTAGGGTGAGGTGAGGTGGGGGTGGGGTGGGGTGAGGTGAAGGGTGAGGTGAGGTGGGGGTGGGGGTGCGGTGCGGTGGGGTGGGGTGGGGGTGCGGTGCGGTGCAGTGGAGTGAGGTGGGGATTGGGTGGGGTGAGGTGGAGTGGGGGGTGGGGTGAGGCAGCCATCTTGGGCTTGCCGGGGTAGAAGAAGCTGAGAGGCTCCCCCGGGATGAAGGCCAGGCCGGTGGGGGCCCCGGGCCTCCGCCTTCATCCGCATCAAAAGCCGCTTTTAGTGTTGAAGTAGACGGGTGGGGCTGGCCACTGGCTCACTGTGGGGAATTTTTGATAAATATAAAATTTAGTAAATTTTGAAATGTGTCCCGTAGAGGTATGTTGTGGTGGCTAGATTCTGTTACATTCTTTGAGGCTTTGTTAAGTACTTTTAATATGAATTTTTACAGATTTGTCGTGTTTGTTAACAAGTCACTTTCTATAAAATCATTGTCGTAAGGAAGGTTTATAATTGTAGGACTTAGAATTTATATCATTGTCTTGGGGTTGGGCCTGCATTTTTGTAACCTGAAGAAATAGTTTTAACTTCACAAAATTTGAGTTTTGCAGATGAAAAATTGATCTTAGTTAATCTGCAGTGTAATATGTCAAAGGTATTATAGCTAGCATTTACAGTCATGCTCCACTTAACTGAGATTCCTTCTGGGAAACTCGTCATTAGGGGATCATAGAGAACACTCACACACTAGATGGTAGAGCTTGCTTACTGCACACGAGGCTACATGGTATAGCCTCTTGCCCCTCAGGTGCATCAAGTCCTGTACACAAGAGGAAGTCATGCAGTCATTGAACCATGTTACCCATTACCCTCGTTTCTCTTTAGTATTATTTCATTTTTCCTTTTTTGCCAGAGTTTCTTTTGCAAAATAAAAGTGTGTTGTTTTTCAGAGTGGAAAAGCCACAGGAAGTGATTCAAGTGGTGTCATTGATCTTACAATGGATGATGAAGAGAGTGGAGCTTCACAAGGTATTTAAATATAAGTAATCATACATATGCTTTGGTGCCATTTTTTTCTCTTAACCCAATATAATACTCAGTGAAGATAGTTTTTTCTTGGTGTATATGTATCCTTTCTAGGATGAGAGTTTTTTAGATTAGAATTAAAAAATAGAAATAAAATCTTGAGTGAATATGAAAAGGCATAGTGGAAAATGGAGCAATTAGGAGAAATTTATCTTATGGAACATCTCTCTTTTTATGTCTGTTATTTCACTTGATCCTTGAAATAAATATGCAATACCCACTTAAGAGTTGAGGGTAGATTGATAGAATATGAGTCAGTAAGGGAAGTGGAACCAGAACTTCTGACTCTAAATGGTGTTGTGCGTGTGTGTTTTTATCTAGGTACTTTTAAGTGCATATAAACTTAATTTGGTTATTTGAATTAATTTCCTTTAGTGTTATTTAAAAGAAAATGAAAGTAATATTAGAAAGCACGCACACCCCAATATTGCTCTGAGTTATATTTAGAAATAGTATTAGATAGAAATTACCCAATATTCCACATTATTCTGCTTTTTTTTTTTTTTTTTAATACATTTTATTGATTTTTTACAGAGAGGAAGGGAGAGGGGATAGAGAGTTAGAAACATTGATGAAAGAGAGACATCGATCAGCTGCCTCCTGCACATCCCTTGGGGATGTGCCCACAACCAAGGTACATGCCTTTGACCAGAATTGAACCTAGGACCTTTCAGTCCGCAGGCCGACGCTCTATCCACTGAGCCAAACCTGTTTTAGCTCTTCTGCTTTTTAATAGGCATTCTATGAGTAAAAAGTTCCATGGTTAAATATGCTTGGTAAATGCTTAGTAAACAAAATTATTTTTTCCTTTTTTTTAAAAAAAATTTTTTATTGTTGAAAGTATTACAACAATATTCTCCCCCATTGACTCCCTCTACCCCACCCCTGTCCCCCCTAATGTTTTTTCTTAATACAGACTTCTCTAAGCCTTTACCCTGCTAATTTATAATGTAATTCTCAATGATTCAAAATATAAAGTAATTTTCAAACTTATTTGAATGCACAAAATAACTTTGTTCATGAATCTGGTGATAATTCTATAATGCATGTGGAAAATCTAGTATCATCAGGTACTAAGTTAATTATTATCTTAAAGACATTAAATTTTAACCTAAACATTTAAAAAATTGCATTGTAGGGGGTAAAATGGTTAATTTGGTTTTAAGAAAACAAAATTAAGTGGTTATACAATTGATTATGGGAAAGGAAAGTCAGATTTTTTTGGTATAAAACTGCTCTAATTTTAGAACTTTTATACCATCATTTGTCAAGGTTGAATTCTAGCAGTATTGCTATTAAAGAGTTTCAGGTTATCTGTAATTTTTTCACTATTATTTCATAGACAAGTTAAGTATAATGAATTCCTAGAGGGCAAAAATAAATCAGGTTATTTTTGAAAAAACACAGGTAGAGTTATTCTGAATTAAAAGGGAAACGACATTTATTATCACGTGGTCTTACAATTTCTCTTTCTAGCATCTCTGCCTCACGGGGACTGTTTCCATTTTCACATTTGAATGTACCTTAAATTATCTTATTCTGAAGTGCATTGTTCTCCATCAGCACCCAATTAAAATTTTACTTGCTAAACCCTTAAATTTTATTTACAATTTATAATTTTGTTTACATAGAAATTTATTTACATTTTAGAATTCCATAGGACAGAAATCAGTGGGAATCATTTTGGATAGCAGAGGTTTTGGCTTACCCTCTTTATAATACACCAGATAGTGGTTACCTATTTTCAAGGACTTTTTCTGAGATGCAAACATTAATTTCATAGGCTATTGTAGACTTTTTGAGATAGATGCTCTATGTGTATATGTGTATTATATTTTAAAGACTAGATAGTGTAAATAGCTATCAGTGTTAAGCAAGAGAATCAACAACAGAGTAATTGGAATTCAAGATCTTTGGTGAAAATTTCATCAGTTTATAGGTATTTGTCTAGGAGAATCTCCTTGGTATAGCTTGCGTACGCCTGCACTCGCTCTCTGTATGTATATCTATTATATATAAATATTATATATATAATACATATGTATTATTTACATAGAGATCTTAATGGAGGAAATGAAATTATTGTAATTGACATGATATTGAATTGTGTTCAGAAAAAGGATTGTTTTATTAAAAAGTTAAAACATAAAACTGTATTTTTGTACATTTTAATCAGGATCTGTGATAGTACAACAGTGAGTTATTTAAGGTCCTGACTTGGTTTTCAAATTGACAAATACACATAGTTAAATAGAAAGAAATTGTTTTGTAAGCTTTAAATGTGACTTGATGGCAGGCAAAATAAATTTTACCCCTAAAGGAAATCCTGTATTTCTAATTTTTTTCTATCAATAATCATAATGTCTCACTTTTAATTAACAGACACTAAAAAGCTAACTCACACTCCTGTGTCAGCCATGAATTCTTCTCAGTCTGTGTCTCGACCGTTACAACCTATCCAGCCAGCACCACCTCTTCAACCATCTGGGGTGCCAACAAGTGGACCATCTCAGACAACAATACACTTACTACCTACAGGTAAACTTTGCTGAGTCATTAAGCCAAAGCTTTCGTTTTATCTACAGTTAAACAGGACTATGGAATCAAGTGGAAAGATTAGACAAAAAATTCTTACTGTTATTTTGAAGATACCGTGCCTTTTGAATGCTATATAACTTAGTTTTTCTGCCATTAAGTAGCAGCACTTATAAAATGGTTATATAGAAGGCTTTAACTCTACGCCTTTGTCATTGCTACTGAAAACAGCAGAAATGAATATCCTTTCTTAGGAAGGATGGGTGTAATGATGCATTCTGATGATAACCAAGAAAGTTATAATTGACTAATTAAATAAGAATTTAAAAATAATTCTTAATTTGAACTAGTTTAAAGTGGCTTAACACTATCATTAGGAGATATAACATTAATATTTTATTTGCATCTTCAAGAAGCTGTAAATCACATATTTTTAAGGTATAGCCTCTGTCTCCTAAACTGTTTGGAAGACAATCAAGACAGTTTTTCTTCATACAATAAGCTATTGCTTATATTATATATATATTTATTTGCAAAATGTTTACATAAGCACAATTTTCATTAAGGAAAACATTGAACTCACATGGAATTGTTTCCAGTGAAATTAAAATGACAGTTACCTAATTTAGAAAGAAATATTATTATGTAAACCCAGGTGCAGTATAGGTAACAAAAATGGGGACTAAAGACTGTCTTCATTTTCTAACTCAAAAAATTAGGATATATAAAGGCTAAGGAGTCTTTAGTAAAGAAACCTTTTTATCTTTGTTGTACCCAGCATTTACCTCCAAATTTATCCTATTTATAGAACCCATTTTTTATATGAAAGATTTATTAATTGTTTTTATTATAAGTTAATACATGGTTATTTGTAAAATGTGATTCTAATTCAGAGAGTTATTAACAAGAAGCTAACTCCTCAAATCATAATTGTAGTCCATGCTGTGCGTGAACATTTAGGAATCAGTATTGATAAATATATATTAACATTACTCAAGAGATTAATGTTCTTCTGCCATAGGTTAGGAAGAATGCCAGAGTAGAGAAGGAAGAAGTGTGTATTTTAATGGATATTTTATTGTTTTGAATATAGAGATGGTTTGGCTCACCTAAAGAAAATTTCAGTTATAATACCCAACCAGTTTCTTGAACTGTGGAAATAGAGTTACTCTTGGATTATACTCATTTGCAGATAGTCTGGAGACCCTAAAATTCCACTCTGCTAAGAACATTTTAACATAGAGAGGGAGAATCTGCTCTTTTAAGTAACTCCTATAAGTTATAATAGTAATTCTGAGTCTACACCTTTTCTTTCATGCTTTTTAAGTAGTCAAATTAAAGAATGGAAAGGACACTCTGGCCATTGTGGCTCACAGTGTCCAGTCTACACACTAAAGGGTCTCGGGTTCATTCCCAGTCAAGTGCTCATATCTGGTTTGTAGGTTCAATCATTGGCCATAGTCAGGGCATGTGCAGGAGGCAGCCAATCAGTGTGTCTCTCTCACATTAATGTTTCTCTTTTCCCCCTTTCCTCTCTCCCTTCCTTCCACTTTCTAAAAATCAATGGAGAAAATATCCTCAGGTGAGGAAAAACAAAAAAGTGGAAAGGGCATTGGACAGAGTTGAGATGCTTTTTTACTCTGAAGTTTGTAGTAATACCGTGTTTCCCCGAAAATAAGACATCCCCTGAAAATAAGACCTAATGCAACTTTGAGAGAAAAAATTAATATAAGACACTGTCTTTTTTTCGGGGAAACAGGGTATTATTAACTTTGGTTGGCTTTATCAAGATTGCAAAAGGAGACTGTTGTCTCTATATCTCTATATTAGAGTTAGTACAAAGTTAATTAACATTTAATACTCTTCATTTAACATAGATTGTACTGTATTCTTATTATATTTTTCTGCTTTTGATTAGCTCCAACCACTGTGAATGTAACACATCGTCCAGCATCTCAGGTGACCACGAGACTTTCTGTACCAAGAGCTCCTGCAAACCAAGTGGTTTATACAACTCTTCCTGCACCAACAGCTCAGGCTCCCCTGCGAGGGACTGTTATGCAGGCTCCTGCTGTTCGGCAGGTCAATCCCCAAAATAGTAAGAGACTCTTTTCTTGTATATGGCGCAAGTTGTAAGTTCTTCAGCATGTAGTTGGAGTAGTGTTTAAAATAAAATAAAAATAATAAAGTGAACCACCATTGAACTCTCCACCAGGCTAAGAAATAAGCTTTATCAGAATCTTATAAGCCTGTTTTATGTCCTTCCTTAATTGCATCTTTCTCCCTTTCCATCAGAGGTAACTATCATCCTTCCTTTATGTTTTTTCTGTATAGTTTTGCCACTTATGTAGGTTTCAGTAAAAATCTTTAATTTTCCAAATCTTAATAGGTAGAACAAATTTAACTATTTAAGGATCACGCAATAATGAAATTTCTTTCAAAAAATAATTTTTATTAAATTGATTGGGGTGACATTGGTTAACATGAACATACAGGTTTTAAGTATGTGTTTCTATGTTACTAGATCTGTATATCCTCCACCCAGAGTCACATGTTCTCCAATTACCTTATATTAGTACTCCCTTCTCCCCGTATCCCCTTCCTTCTGGCAATTACCACACTGCTTTTTGTGTTCAGGAGTTTCTGTTTTATATAAGTGAAATCATATAGTTCCTCGCTTTTTCTGACTTATTTCACTTAGCATAATGTTCTCAAGGTCTATATTTCATAACATTCTAGTATGATCCTCTGCATATCTATCATGTCTATGGTGACTTCTCTCTCATTTCTGGTTTTGTTTATATGAGTCTTTCCCTTTTTTCTTTAGGGAGTCTAGCTAGAGGTTTGTCAGTTTGATTAATCTTTTCAAAGAACCAGCTCTTTGTTTCATTGATATTTTTGTAGTCTTTTCTCAATTTTATTTTAATTCTGCTGTAATTTTTATTTTTTAAATTTATTTATTTATTTATTTATTTATTTATTTTTATTGATTATTTACAGAGAGGAAGAGAGGGATAGATAGTTAGAAACATCAATGAGAGAGAATCATCGATCAGCTGCCTCTTGCACATCCCCTACTGGGGATGTGCCCGCAACCAAGGTACATGCCCTTGACTGGAATCGAACCTGGGACCTTTCAGTCTGCAGGCCGACGCTCTATCCACTGAGCCAAACCGGTTTTGGCTATAATTTTTATTATTTCCTTTCTTTTGCTGACTTTAGGTTGCTTTTCTTCTTTTTATAGTACTTTAAGATGTGATGTCAGGTTGTTTACTTGGAGTTTCTCTGTTTCTTGAGATAGGCCTTTAATGATATATATTTCCCTTGTATTACTATTTTTGCTTTCTTCCAGAAGTTTTGATATGTTGTATATATGCTGTATTGTCATTCTTATTTGTCTTTATACATTTTTCTCTCATCTTTTATTTCTTCTTTTACCCAGTCATTTTTTAGTAGTATGTTATTTAATCTCCATGTATTTGTAGGTTTCTTTACTTCCTTTTTGCAGGTGATTTCTAATTTCAAGGCATCGTGGTCATAGAATATGCTTGGTATAATTTCAGTTTGAATTTGTTAATGCAAATTTTGTGACCCAAGATATGATCTATTCTTGAAAATGTTCCATTTGCACTGTAGAAGAATTTATAATCTGGTGTTCTGATATGAAAGGTTCTGTAAATGTCAATTATTTCCATTTGGTGTAGTGTTTAAGGTCATTATTTCTTTATTGATTTTCTTTGGTTGATCTGTCTAGAGCTGTCAATGGAGTATTAAGGTCTTCTAAATATGATTGGGTTTTGATCGGTTTTTCTCTTTAGTTCTTTGAGTAGTTTTATATATTTTGGTACTCCTTGATTGGTTGCGTATATATTAAAAAGTGTTTTTTTTTTTAATGTAGAGTTCTCTTTATCATTATACAGTGTCCATTGTTGTCTCTAAATCTATTTTGTCAGCTATTAGTAGCTTGTCTGCTTGTCTGTGGTTGTTATTTGCTGGAGAACCATTTTTCACCCTTTTACTTGGACACTTAGTCTTTGCACTTTAGATGTGTCTCTTGAAGGCAGCATATGGTAGAGGTGGTTTTTTGTTTTGTTTTTTTGTGGGTTTTTTTGTATTCGCTCTGCTGCTCTGTGCCTCTTTATTGGTGATTTCTGACCATTTACATTTGGGGTAATTATTGATGTATGAAGATTTCCATAGCCGTTTCATCTTTCGTTTTCAGGTAGTTCCGTGCCTCCATTGGTTCTTTTCCTTTATGTTTTTGTCTGTTGCTTTTGTTTGGTGACATTCCATACATCTTTCCTCTCTTTTTAATCTATATGGCCTGGTTTGGGGATTTTTTTGTGTGTGGTTACCATTAGGTTTATAAAAATAAAGTTGCATATGTACCATAGTTTTGTTCCTTTGAGTGCATCTGATCTTCATCTTCCTTTGCCAGTTCAGTCCTTTAGCTTCCTCCCCTTTATGTTTTTGTTGTCACAAATTACCATTGTTTATGCTTTAAGTTTTTTGGTGATTTTACTCATAGTATTGTGACCTTATTTTTTTTGTTTCAAGGGGTAGAATAAAACCCCTTAATTATTTCCTGCATTGGAGGTTTTCTAGTGATAACTCCTCTACTTCTGTATGCCTGGGAGCATCTTTATTTTTCCTTCATATTTAAAGGATAATTTTGCTGGATATATTATTTTTGGCTGGTAATTTCTCACTGAATATTTGGTTCCACTCTTTTCTGTCTTATAGAGTTTCTGCTGAGAAGTTGGATGAAATTGTGATGGGTTTTTCTTTGTAGGTCACTGCCTCCTTTTCCCTGGCTACTTTGAGAATTTTTTCTTTGTCATTAATTTTTGTCAGCTTCAATACCAGGTGCCTCGGAAGAGGCCCTCTTTAAATTGAAGTAACTAGGTGATTTGTTTGCTTCTTGGATTTGAGGATCTAGTTCTTTCCTTAGATTTGGGAAATTCTCATTTATTATTTGTTTTAATAAGACACTCCATTCCATTCCCTCATTCTTTCTCCTCTGCAATGCTTGCTTTTTCTGATGAAGTCAAATAGGTCTCATCAAGCTCTTTTCATTTTTCTTTATTCTCAGGTCTTCCTTCTTTTCCTCTGCATCATTTCTTGATTCCTATCTTTTATATCACTAATTCTTTCCTCTAACTGTTTGGCTCTGTTTTCTTGCTCAGCATATCACTCTTTTTAAAAAAATATATATTTTAATTGACATCAGAGTACCTGGCAGAATTATAGTATGGGCCAGGTACTGAATATATGGCAGGGATATGGTTGGGGAAGTAGGTAGCTCTAAATTTTCTGCTTCTGTTGCCCTGATGTATGTCAAAACATTAGCTATTGGGTAAAGTGAGTATCGATAGCTAATTAGCAGAGGGCATGGAAAGCAAGAGAACTTTATAACAGAAGGCAGGAATAACTTAGTAGGGTTTTTTCTTTCTTTTCTTATTTCCATTTTTTTGTAGTGAAGAAGACATAATCTGACCAGTTTGGCTCAATTGGCTGAACATGACTTGTGCACCCAAAAGGTCACTTTTTCGATTTCTGGGCAGAGCACATGCCCAGGTTTAGGTTCAGTCCCCAGTCTGGATGCTTACTGGAGGCAATTGATCAATGTTTCTCTCTCCCTCCCAACCCCTCTCTCTTGTTCTCTCTAAATCCAGTAAAAACATATTTAAAAACAAGACAAACGAGACAGCAGAACTTTTGTGGAGATAGCTTTATTTTACCTGTCCTTAAAGTGACACTGCTTCATTCTGGGCTGTTTGCCTTCTACATGTGAGCCACCAGTGTTCCAGTGTTCTGGAATTTTGCTCATAGTCCTTTTAGTAGGGATTCTATTTATTTCTCTCCTGTGCAGGAACTCTTGTTCCTTGTGTCTACTGTTTTCCTCTTTATTTTCTCTTTTATATTTGTGATATACATCCTCTGATGGCTACTTGAATAGATTTTTGTTGTTGTTTGCATATATGAGAACTTCTTTGTCTTCATGCTGGAATGATACTTTGGCTGAATGTAGACTTATAGGTTAGAAGTATTTTTCTTTTTATATTTTAAAATATAATTTTACTGACTTCAGGTGTTTAATCAGTGTTCTGCCAAATTTAAAATAGTATTGTAATTTATTAATTTTCTTTTGTAGGTGTCACAGTTCGAGTGCCTCAAGCAACTACATATGTTGTAAACAACGGAATAGCCCTGGGATCCCCAGGACCTCAGCTCACAGTGCATCATCGACCACCACAGGTGCACACTGTAAGTGTTAATTGTGACTACAAAATTCTTAGCTATGAAACTATCAGATCTTATTTTTCTTTAAAGTAGTTATATCAAAAGGAAATGACAGGTCTTCTGTTTTTCCTGCAGAAGTTTATTTAAGAGACTAGATCTTATCATTATGAACAAATGTTCCTAAGGATGATAGTTGTCAAGGATCATAGAGCTTATGATGGCTTATAATATATAAAAAGAGTTCACAGGTAGAGCATGTGAAATGAAAGAGATAGACCATTTTAACTCATGGTTAAATTAAAAATATTTTGGAGATTAAAAAGCATATTTAAAAATTTTTTTGATACTCTATAACTTTATTCTTTTCTTCAAAAATTATACCAGTTCTGCTATATTGCTGCCTCTTTATTGTTTTTAATAATTCAGTGGTATTAATATTTGAAATTCATTATTTAGAAATAACAGAAAAATCACAAGATTTCCCCTTAGATATAATGTAGTCTCCAAAATAATGTCACATTATCCTGTGACGTGATTATAACAGTATTTGGTTTGGTATATCATGTAAATGGAAATATATCGGCTTTATGAGGAGGAAGGAGATTGAGACATATCACTTCTTACCAAATAATGGATCATTCATTTTTTTGATTACATGTAATAATGGCTAGCATTTATTAAGTGCTTACTATGTGCCAGGCACTGTTAATATACTTAATTCTCACACAGGACTCCTTTAGGACTCCTGTTCTCTTTTTTTTTAATGATATGACAGCTAATACACAGAGAAGCTGATCAAGCAGCCCAAGGTCATACTTTGTAGAAACCCAAGTTCTATGGCCTATGCTCTAAATAGCTATTATTTTTATTGTTCTACAATGAAAACATAATATTAATGGAGCACTTACAATATACCAGGCACTCCAATTTAATTTAATGTGTTTTAATTTAAGCCTCACAACTTTATGAGGATTATTGATTTCTTATAGAAAAGGATACTGTGTCACAAAGATGTTAAGTGATTACTCTGTGTCACTATCCAAGCTAGTGTCAGAGGCAAAACCATTTTATAACAAACAGGCTGTCCAATCCCAGTCCCTCTAGTCTGGTCCTATTGGGCTATATGTTAAATATACCATTACTGTTGTTTGTATCTATAAATAATTGCTTTCATTCATTAGTCTTTCATAAAAAGTATAGGAAAAATCTCATAGTTTTGCAAATTTGATAACCTATCAAAGTTGTGGTGTGTGTGTGGTCATTTGTTTTTTTATCGGGTTCCATTCATGTGTATTGTCTAGAATAAAATGCATCTCACAGGAGGAATATTCTTTTAATTAATTTAAAAAATATTTTTAAATAGCAATTTTCAAATGTATGCAGAAAAAAATAGAGTAACAATTCCTATATACTTGTCACATATCTTCAACAATTATTAGTGCTTGGCCAGTCTTATTTCACCTATGCTACCGGCCACTTATTTCCATAACCATGTACACACTATTTTGAAGCAAATTCCTGATATCATTTTATTTTACCTATAAAACTTCAATAAAAGCCATTGCAACAACAAAAATATAATTAACTCAGTTGACTTAGTTTTCAGACATGAGCAGATTCAGAATCCTAGAATTTTAAGAACTAGAAGGGATATTACAGGCCATTTAAACTTCTTAAATTCTTTAAACTTCTTTAAACTTCTTAAATCCCTATGCTCCATCTAGTCAAGTTACGCATCAGCCATTGTCTATTACATTGTTAGCTATATGTTTATTTAATATTACTTATAAAACAATTAAGTCTCTTTCAGAAAAAATGACAATTTGAGTTAGGAATTAAAGCCACATGGTTAGCATTCAAATAAGTCTTACTTTTTAAAATACTTTTTTATTGATTTTAGAGAGATAGGAAAGTAGAGAGAGAGAAATATAGATGTGAGAGAAACATTGATTGGTTGCCTCCTGCTTACACTCTGACAAGGGATTGAGCCTGCAACCTAGGCATGTATGTACCCTGATTGGGAATCAAACCTTTTATTTGAAGCCGCCCAATCAACTGAGCCACACTGGCCAGGGCTCAACTCATTTCTATTTCTTCAGCTTTCAATGTTTTATCTAAGTTCAAATTTTTTCTCTCTTTAACTTTATATTTTTTTTAGCTTTTAAATTGAGGTTGTACCTTTTTCCAGACATGTTTGAATTTTTTCAATTAGGCATAAGAATTTCAACAGATTGATATTCCTTGACATTATTCAGCATATCCTTTCTGAGTTCTTATGTACATGTTTCTGGTACTAAGTTTTGAAAAGGCACGGGAATTAAAAAGATGGCATCAAACTATCACAGAATTCACTATTTAATATTTGCAAATTATCCATTTAATAAAAAGTATATTAAAACAGTTCTTTGTTAAATGAATTTTAGTTAAGGAAATCTTGTTTCATGACTTCCAATTTAAAGTCAGTGAGCAGCCCTGGCCGGTTTACTCAATGGTTAGAGCATCAGACGGGCCATGGAAGGGTCTTGGGATCAATTCCCAGACAAGGGCATGTACCTGGGTTACAGGTTCACTCCCTGTCCCTGTCAAGGTGTATGTGGGAGGCAACCAATTGATTTGTCTCTCTCCCATTGATATGTCTCTCCCTCTCTTCCTCCCTTCCATTCTCTCTGAAAAGCAATAGAAAAAAACCTCGGGTAAGAGCTAACAAAAAAAATTCCAAAAATTCCACTTTCCTAAAGCCAGTGAATAATGATGTTTCACTGGTTGGGGGGCGGGGGGGGGGAAGAATCACTTATATCCCTGTTTCCTGGCTCTCACTTGAATCTTTTTTGGAAAAATTGTCACTATAATCTTAAAACCCAAATATAATAATGCTGATGTTCAGTGTTCGATAAGTGAATTTGACTTCTTAAGCTTAGTATTAATCCTTTTTCATTATCTAGCTGTAACCTACCTTTCGAAATTTAACTTTTCTTTTTCAAATAACTCTATGCCTGAGTAAAAAGTTAACCCTGATGTTTGCCCATAAATCTCCATACCTTTTCTCATGCTTTACCTATTGGTAGTAAGGTACACAACTTTTTCTGTATTTCTGAATTCCCTCTTTCTAATTTAAATGTCACCTATTTCATGTAGCCTGATCAAGAGCATAATGTCCATTTATTATTAAATGTGCTTATTTCTTATTTATAAGAATATGCTAATCTTTATATGGAAAAACAGCTTTAAAATGAAAGTAGAGTTAAAAACTCAAATTTTCTCTGATAGAGTGACACACAATATTTTATTTTTAAAGTTTTTAAAAATGTTATTGATTTTTGAGAGAAAGGAAGGGAGAGGGAGCGAGAGAAACATGACATGAGAAACATTGATTGGTTGCCACTTATACACACCCCAACCTGGGCACAACCTGGGTATGTGCCCTCACTGGGAAGTGAACCAGCAACCTTTCACAGCACAAGATGACACTCCACCAAGTGAGTCACACTGGTTAGGGACACATATTATTTTAAAATGTTACATTGTACTAAAAAAAGAAGCTGTAGCATATAGAATTAAATCATTATTTTGTTAGAAGTAGATGACTATTTCAGTCTGTCAAGATGATGTCCTGTCAGCAAGGGCTTTTATTTTCCAAGGAAAACTGTAGGTCTGGAAAGAATAGCAGGGATTACTTCAGCATCATTGTTTGGGGTACAGTTGGTTACACTGTAAAGGCTTTCATACATATTCTCATCAGTGGCTTTAACTTCATCACCAAATAAAACTTGCCAAATATTTGATATTTCCCTGTATTTTAATATAAAATGTTCTCAGTAAGTCACCTCTAGGATGTCTTCGTTCTAATTCCCAAAAACAGCCCTTTGTGTGGTCATTATAAATCAACTTGGCTCTTCTTGGTTAGGAGCCTCCACGCCCTGTGCACCCAGCACCCTTACCAGAAGCCCCACAACCACCGCGCCTGCCCCCAGAAGCTGCCAGCACATCTCTGCCTCAGAAGCCGCACTTGAAGTTAGCACGAGTTCAGAGTCAAAATGGCATTGTACTGTCATGGAGTGTCCTGGAAGTGGATCGAACCTGTGCCACTGTTGACAGCTACCATCTCTATGCTTACCACGAGGAACCCAGTGCCACTGTGCCCTCACAATGGAAAAAGATTGGAGAGGTAAAGGCACTTCCTTTGCCAATGGCATGCACTCTGACCCAGTTTGTATCTGGCAGCAAATACTACTTTGCCGTACGGGCCAAGGATATTTATGGACGTTTTGGACCTTTCTGTGATCCTCAGTCAACGGATGTGATCTCTTCTTCCCAGAGCAGTTAAACTTTGGAGCCTTTCTCTCTTCTTTGAAAAGTTCCACTTTTTGGTCTTGTTTTAATCTTGTGCATGATACCCATTGTAAAAATTTACATTGTGCAAGATTTCTTGGACAGATGTGTATATACACTACGTTTGTTTATAATCAGAGAATAAAATAAACTTAGCTCATAAAGCAAGAACCTTTTCCTGAACAATTCAAACTTCAAGGTTTTGAAATGTAAATGTGCATCTTCCTTTAATCTTGAGGCTGGGGAATAATATGTGTGGGTGTTTGTGTGGTTTTATTTTTTCCTATTTATATATGTTTGTTGCAGTGAAATTTTCCATTTTCATTCTCAGATTTCCCTCTCTTCTAGTATAAAGTAAATAGAGCAAAGCATCTGAGGTTATGTAACTGGCATGATTCTATTACTAAGGGATCTGTAGTTTCATAGTTAAATGATTTAAACAGAATCTAAACAAAACCCAAAGGAAAAAAATAAAAAGCAAAATGGCTCAAGAGCTTAAAACAGGTTAATTTGAACACAGGAAAGGATCTGTTATCTTTTACTGGATTGTTAAATAGGCGAAAACATCTCAATGGCCCCTCCCTTTTCTAATCTAGGTTTTATATTTATTTTGTGCCTTAAACATTAACTGCAAAAATAAAGGTAGCCATTTGTCCATTGTTGTTTCTTTCCTTTCAGCTTTTAGCCCTTCATTTTTTCTTTAACGCCATAAAATATAGCACACTCCCTCAAGTAAATGTTAAAACAAGGCTTTTATACGTATTCTCATCAGTGGCTTTACTTCATCTAACTTCAAATTTTTAACTTGCTATTTTCTCCCAAGAATATAAATGCTTTTATTTTTGGTCACTATTTAAATTAACTTTATGTAAAGTAGATTAAAAGAAGACCGTACTATGTAAGAAACTTTTCCTATTAACATATTTCAGTATCTGTGCTCACACTGTGTTAGAAATTATGAAAGCAATTACAATTTACTTTATCACCCAAAGCATAATATTTTTTCAAAGGAAATAGTCAAATTTATAAAATACAATGAGCCAAAATATTAAAGGGAAAGATCATTATCTCTTTAGTCTTTTGTATCGTTCCTTTTGTTAACTTTTAACTTTGTTTTGATGATGCCAAGTTTTGTGTAATTTATCCTATGTCAGCTTTGGATAGAATTTAAAGCACATTCTTTGGGGTCAGTTTATGTAACAATTAGGTATAACTTAGTGTGCATCTCTGTTCCTCTTCAAAGTTAAAGTCAGCTTAGGTGTCCTGCATTTTCAGTACGAGTGCGAGGTCTAATAGTATCAGGTAGTTGAGTGTAGATAGTGGAGGACAGGTCTTCCTGGGTACACTTGTGGTTGAGAGTGTGGTTGAGAATATTTTGAAAGGAATTCATGGAGTTTGTGAAATAATTTATCTTCCTTTATCATATTTGAATTCATATTTCTACCCTCTCAAATTATACCTCTTGAAATTGTAGGAGGGAACTGCCCCATTAATGTTTTGTTTGCCACATGGGTGGCTTGAAACTGGAAGCATTCTAGTTGTAAAGTCTTTAAATAGACTTTCACCAGTCAGTGTATGTCATGTTAAGAGTGAAGTTTGATTGATTCTGAAGAAAGCCTACAGTTTGCCAAACTATAAATACTCCAAAACCTTCCTTTCACTTTCAGAAAATAAGGTCACAATGAGAATTAAAGTTTTCATGAATCAAATTTGCCAACCATGTAGCTATCACTCATTCTAGGACTAATGACGCTGGTAAAGAAGTTGCCAATGTCATGCCAATGAAAATTTCAAAAGGGAGATAGATATATATGAACACCTGTCGATATCTGCATGTATATATGTTTCTACCTGCAGTGGATGCAACGTTGATTATGTGTTCAAGATCATTCCTGTCTACAGAGTAGAAAGCTCATGTTCAAAAGTTTTTTATTGGTTTTTTTTTTGTTTTGTTTTTTTGGTCATGTGATAACAATTTGCCTACTTAGCCTTGAAATGGTTTCTTTGGTGAATGTTTCTATTTATAGTCACTAGTCCTTTTTTTAAAGTTTTTGTAGCACTATATAATCCTGTGAAGAATGCCCAGTTGAATGCAAATATTTCATTATTTTAATGTATACTGTGTTTTCTGTCAAAAAAATTTTCAAATAGTAACCCTAAAATATTAACTTTTATTTTGGCACAGTAAAATAACTTGTTATTCCAGATGGTGGAAGGAAGGTACAAAGAAATATTGTAATTATTTGAGGAAAAAGCATATTATAAAATGGCCTCTGAAAATTAGACTGCTGTGGCATTTGTAGGCAACAGCAGCTATATTGGATTAACTGAAAGGTGGTAGGCTAGAACTCTAGTCTTTTGAGACAGGTTTTATTGTTGATGGACACTTTTTATTTGGAAGAGAGAATGGAAGATTCAGCTAGAAATAGTTACGGATTAGAGTTTTTGTAGCAGTTCACACCCCATGATATCTTTTTTATTTTGTTGTACCTTTTCACAAAGTATTATAAATAAGCTTGTTTATCCCATTTTGGGATAAGTTTACTAAACTTTTTAGCTTGACAATACTTGTGTTAAATGTCACTTTATTGGAAATTCTGGAAATTTCTGAAATTTCAACCCAAAATGTAGGGTGGTTATGTGGCATTTAAAGGTAACGGAGATGTTTGTTACTCTTTACTTGGTACTGTGTTGATTTTCACCCTATTTTAAGTGTGAGTAAGCCTCTTTCCAAAATTCTTATTGCCAGTAAATTTATAAATTACATATAAAGATAACATCTGTTATTAACAGTTAACTTGATGAGGTAACTATATCCCTCTTTTTCTGGACTCACTTTTAAAAATATACAGAATACTGTGTACTGTTTAACACAGTAGAAGTCAATGAGAAGAGTGAAGAGAGCTTTCTACCTTGAAAGGTATTTATTGGGATACCATTTGCCTCACAGCGAGATGTTCCCCATTCTCCCCACCCCCATTGTCAGATAAATAAAAGGTTTATTTGAAAAACAAGTCCTAGAGCAAGAAGCTTAGAATCTTAGGGGTATATTTCTGCACCATACAGAATTCTCTTACTGTATTGCATAAGTGTTAGCTAAGTTTTTGTTTTCTTTTGTTTATATTTTATAAATTATTATTCATGCAACAAGGTGAGTGTTAATATTGCATGACATGCATTTATCTTGTTCCACGAATTTCCCAGTACTATACAAGATCAACAAAATAATGCCTGTGGTATTGTCCTCTCTTGCTTTTATACATATGATCTTAGCACTGTTAGAGTACTGCAAAGTCCTTGGGTTATTTCAGTATCTTATAATTCATTTGTTATTTTATTAATGACCAGTTGTTGTCATTGTCCTGTTTTATTCTAATTTCCAGAAAAATCATGTCTCAGTGTTAGATTATTGCAAATAACTTTATCTAAAACCAAGGTATGATTCTGCCTTCCTTACTGGGCAAATGAGGTGTCCAGTTCTCCTCCATCTCCCATCCCCTTTTTTTACATTTTGGGACAAAGGAAAAGATTAGAACAATTCTTATGAGGTGTTTTGTTAGTATGGTAGACTTACGTGATTCCTAAAATCTTTTTCTCTTGAGCCAGCCAATGGGGAGGAATAGGACCATACAAATAGTTTTATCATGCTAAGTAAGTTTTTTAATTTGTAGATTCAGCTAAATACCAAGCATTTATATTTAAATGCTGTCTTTTTTATTTTTTATTTTGTTTGTAAATAAGGTAACTGGGCAATCAAACACCTTTTGGAAGACTTGGCTTTAGTATTTCATCAGCCATTTCAAAGTTAATATAAAAAATTCTTTGTAGGAAACTTGCATTCTGATTTTTCTTTATTGCAGTTGAAAGTGTAAATATGACAATGTTAAGATCTTCCTAATGTCTAATATAAAGTGGGCTATAGCAAGTTGTCCTATTTTTATTAGGTTTTAAAGGTTTTTGTGTTTTTTTTTTCTTCTTTTTTTCCCTAAATGTACAGTAGACTGGTACCTGTTTAAGTGTTAACTGTAGTGGGATTTGTCCAGCAAGCCTGAAATTTATACTTTGAAATAAACTATGGGTTTTTAACATTCTGAGTACTCTTGATTCATTCTGATTATTCTTGCCCCTTGTGTTTGTTTCTTTCAAAAGTCTCTTACTTTGCTAAGGATCATTCATTAGGCTGTACAATATGGTTTATTTAGCCTATTTGACAATACCCCAGCACTAAAAGTACACACAGTTTTCAAACTTTGAAAGAAAAACTATTACACAGAGTTGCTCTCAGATTAGATATGCTGCTTTTCAGTAATGGGAGACAACATTAAGGTTTGCTATATGTGTGCTTAGCCTGCACTACAAGAAGACTCAACTGATACCTGTTAATGCCAGAAATATCACTCACTGAATTTCTGTTAGAGGTTCCATTAGAAACACAGCTCCACCTTTCTTTTGGGCTTTGTCAGTAAGTATATCCACCCAGGGGAAGGAAGGGGAAAGAGCATGAAGGAGTACAGGTTCTTAGGGGCCAGGCCTGAAATAGGCACTCATCTCAGATTCCACTGACAATAACTTGTCATGTGGCACAACTACCTAAGGGAACCTGGGATATGTGGCCTGATTGGCCAGGCATAAAAGAATATGGATTTTGATAAGCGAAAATCATTGATTGGCTGCCTCCTCTACACCCCCTGGGATCTAGCCCACAACCCGGGCATGTGCCCTGACTGGAATCAAACCCAGGACCCTTCCGTCCACGGGCTGAAGCTCTATCCACTGAACCCAACCAGCTAGTGCTGCCATATTCTCTTGTGTGTAAATTTGTATGCTCAAGTCTAGTATTGTTAATCATATGTAATGTTTCTTCTACAATGAATGCTAGTGAACTACACAGTCAACAGTGGGGAATGACAGTAACAGACTAATACATTTTATTAAGACTAATTTTGAATGGAAAAACATAGCTAAAATAATGCCTTTGGTATCTTATTTGCAGCC